TTTTTCTCAAGAAGAGAATAGAATTCACGCAAGAGTTTCTAGAAATTAGACGAGTCTGTTGATTTGATATTCCCTCGTTTACAAAGTTCCGCGAGATAGAGATATCTCGCGATGTCCTTATATAACTCTGTCTCAAGCAAAGTACAGCATATTCAGAGGAATGTTAAATTGGCGAAACTTTGGCCTCGAAATGTCAACTGAATAATCAATGTTGTATCAAATCTACCGAACGAAGACCTGAGCTTACGCTAAGTATGTGCGCGTGCATCGGCAACTGATTGCAAACTTGGAATAAACTTTGAATGCCTGAGAAAGACTTGGTGTGTATCGAAATTTTTGCCTTTAAAAATGCACCACTTGAAAAAGATTTCTTAAAAAAAGTATAGCAAGGAATCGGCAAAAGACGCCCGCGGCGACTGCTACTCTCTCCGCGGAGTAAAAGAGTAGTCATCCAAAGTACTCTGAATAGAGTGTTTGGAAATCTTTGGTCTTTCCTGACGGAGAGTCAAACAAAAGAAAGAGAAAAAAAGACGCTCTTGGCTCAGAGACAACTGCCGCTAATCCTCTTCTCTTTCGACCGGCGGGCATATAACTTTTCTGTCTGCGTGCGGAGAAGAACGAAGACTATATCTCGCTATGAGGAGTGTTAGAAAAAATTGCTTGCTCAAATGTAGGTTAATGCGAACGATGACCGCAAGGGAGAAGCGCCTTTTGTTTTCCTTAATCACGGAAGCTCCTTGAAGAATGCCATTATGCAAGTTAATTAAGAAACTGTGCGCTTGAAAATATCCTTCAAAATAAAATTAAACTGTGCTATATTTCTTTCCCTGCGTATTATAAATCAGTAAAACGTAAATGTTCGCTGTCGCCACCCGCCGGGACAAATCGATTAGCAAAAGCGCGGAATAATAACAACGCGTTCAGTCGGAAAACTAGGTCACGGCTTTTTCTCTCTGGTTTACAAAGTTCACTGCTCTCTCTCTCTCTCTCTCTCTCTCTCTCTCTCTCTCTCTCTCTCTCTCTCTCTCTCTCTCTCTCTCTCTCTCTCTCTCTCTCTCTCTCTCTCTCTCTCTCTCTCTCTCTCTCTCTCTCTCTCGGCTTTTTTCGCCCTCGCGTTGAGAGTTTTGATGTGTTTTTTTTCCTTTTTCACGTGCGGGAAAACGATCGACGCTTTGAGATTCTTTGTTAGCACGCTAACGGATTTAATTGGAGAAGTTTGCTGCTCGGGAGTTTTGAGGGCTTCGAGTTCCAAAAAAAAGTTCAGGATTCCGTGGATGACTTTTGTTTAAAATTATGTAAGGAAACTGTTATTTGTTTTATTAGCACACTTGAATATGTTTAAAAAAAAAGTCGAAAATGAATTTTCAAATACTAACGATAATTATTTGGTATCAATAACAATTATTATAAATTACAGTTCTAAGAATTATAGTATTTTTTAATTATTGTAATACTTATAGACAAATCTAATTAAATAAGTTTAATAGCTTTCATCATATTTCAATTCTTAAACGCTATTTAGTCATATTAATCGAATACAACAAAATAAATCATCCAACATAGAGAAAATTACTTCAACCTCACACAAGTGAAGTAATAATTCGATAACTTTTGGTATGCATCCGTAACTGTAGTAAGTAATGAAGAGAGACTATGTAGATTTGCGAAGCGTTTAACGTGAAAATTCGCGAATTATTTTGTTGGGAAGTTCATCGTGGTCCGCCAAATATTAACGCTCGTGATTTTTAAAAATATTTCCAATATAACTGTTTCTCTAAACAAATCCTACGAAATAATATCAGGCTCGCCTTAAAAAAAAAAGAAAAAAACCGTCTAAAAACAAAAAAATTAAATGAACAGGAAAGAAAACGGCTGGTTTTCAGTGACAGAAAAGCAACGACGATTCAAAGCAGTAGTGTGGCAGAGTCGCAGCAGCATAGCGCATACGGCGCTTTCGGCTAATAAAAGCGGCAGATGTTGCGAGCGTAGGTCCTGGTTTTTCTCTTGCGCGAAAGGGAGCGAAAAAGCAATCGAGACACACACGGTTTCGCGCAAGCTTGAATCTCGTTTCCCCCAGCACAACTGATTATACATGAAACGTTAATACCATCCCCGCGCTACTGGAATATTATACTTCAAAGTATAGCACGTTCCATTAGCGTAATTAATCCAAATAACCTGTTGATTCACGAGAGAGGCAGAGATTATAGTTTATAGATAATTCGTCGGTCGATATAACTGACGAACAAACTCACACACAGAGAATTGGAACAACTGCAACTGTGTGTGTATTTATGTATTTATATATATACATTGATTGCGCCAACGCTTTCAATATTCGCTCTATTTACGTTGAGATTGCGCATTGGGCTTGCGTGTTTAATTTACCTTTTGCGCGCGAAAGAATCGCTCTGCGGATTAATGCATGAGTCGAATCGATACCAACGATGATTAAATATTGATGACGCCTAATAGAAGCAGGCTGCTGCTTTTATGATATTACGTCGATGCAGGGAAGTAAATTAAATTTTCTCTTATGGGCTTCGTCGTCATCTGCGCCAATTCATTGAGATTTTATCATGGCTTCGTTCGATATATTTTATTTTAAAGAACAAAAAATTGCGCAAGGTAGAATTCTACGGTTGATAGAATTTATCGAACTTCTTCTCTATCCCTTTTCCTCTCTCTCTCACTCGCTCTCTATATAAAATTAATTTAATTTAAAATTTTTACTAGTGTATGTAGTTTATTATTATTTATTATTAGTACGGAAAATTGAGATTGCGAATAATGCGTTGTAATGTTATATTTAAATTACCCTTAATCCTATTAGTCAATGGAATTATTACAGCATTGTCCTAGTTATACAATGTACAATAAGCAGAGAATACATAAAAATTCGATTAAAAAAGTAATTAACCGAATCTCTAATTTTTATTAAAACGGCACCGTGTTAACATCTAAGTGCGATTATATTCGAGTGCTATAACTCCATCAGCGAAGTAGAAGATAAAAGTCTCGACTATCTAAAAATATGGGAAAGTTCAATGACACGAAAAATAGAATTTCACCGCCCCCTTTCCCCCACTCCTCTATAGCAAGAATAAAAAAAATGCAAAAAAGTACCAATGGAAATATCTCGCAGCATGTTTGCCCGAAGGAGAGGATATCATAGCTATATTCAGCGCTGCTATATCTCGTCATTGTTTGTCTCCTCGCACGTGTTGGCATTGGCGCGCGAATACGGGCGAGATGGGAGCGCACATCAGCGTAAGACCGTAAATTCTCGTAGAAGGCAAATTTTCCGGACGAACGGCCGAAACATGCGGGCCCGCATTGCCCTCCACCTCCTGATGGAGAGAGAAAGGGGAATCGATACTTTTCTCTCTCCCACTTGCGCGAACGCATATTTTCTGCTACGGCTCACCTCAAAGTCTTCTGGCGCGCGCCCGCTTTTCAATTACTCCCGAGGCGTGGCAAACGCGTTCTCTCTCTTCCCCCGCCCCGGATATCGACACTTCTCTCTCGCTCTCTCTTTCGTCTTTAATTTTCTATCCATTCAGACGAAGCTTGTCTCTCCTTTCGTCTCTGGTCAGTTTATTGCCGTACTAAGATTTATTGTTCCCGTTAGTTTCTTAAACCCAGCGATAAGCAATTTAAGTAAAATACACAAAAAAGGAAAGTAAATAGTATCACAAAAATCGTGTTTAGCAATTTAACTTGTTATAAACTCATTAACGCGCGCGAACTCAGATTAAAAGTTCCCACGTACTTCTAGATTTGAATATACCACTGAAAGCTCCAAACGTAAATATAGTTTCAAACATTTTAATAGATAAAATATACGGAAGACATTCTAATATACAAGGTATAAACAAATTACAGGTTTTTTATTAAGTTATTTTTTATTAATAATATGCATTATCTATAAATGCGTAAAATCAATTATACGATAAACAAAGCCGAAATAAATTACTCGTTGGTTATCAATATCAACTTAATGAATAGGAATAATTATTGAGAAAAAAGAAGAAATAACGGAAAAAGGTGATTCGATGAAAAGAGAACAAGAGAAAAAGACGAGAGGCACTGGCTAGCGAACGAGAGAAAAGAATCGCAGCTAAAAGTGCAGAGATTAGGAAAGAAAAAAAGAGCGCGAGATCCAAAAGCACAATACTTTTATTACGAAAGTACTCGGGCAAAAGAGCGAGCGGCAGAGTGAGGAACAAAGGGCGAACTGTGGAAAAAGAGTCAGCCGCGGTATATAGAGAAGACGAAAAAAAAGAGGGAGAGAAAGAGAAAAGGGTCAGCGGAAACGGCGTCACCTTCATTTCTGGCCCTTTCATCTCTCTCTCTCTCTCTCTCTCTCTCTCTCTCTCTCTCTCTCTCTCTCTCTCTTTCGCGAACGACCTGGAAACGAGGCTCATTCAAGTTTTCGCGCGCGGCGACGACGCGACTCGCATGAAAAATTAACGACTCTCACTTCAAGGATCATGACTCCAATGGCGGTGGTGTAGTACGTCGATTCAAAAGAAATATTCCTTCAGCTTTGACGATGCAACGCAGCAACAGTTAATCCTCGATTCACGGTTCCTTTGTAACTTGAATGTTTTATGTCGAGTTCTAACTTTTTCCATGTAATGAAAATGATCCAACTCTTTGGATGCCAACACTTGGCAAGATAAAGGTTCTCGTCTTTCCCGAAAATCTGCTTTTTAGATTTAAAAAGTGCTTGTCGATTTGGAATTAGAATTTCAACGTGTGGCACTTCATCATGTTCTTGCGTTTCATAATTTAAAAATAAAATGAAAATTGATCTTGAATTCTAATACTTTTCTATCAGAAGGATGTCTTTAACGCATTTATCACTTGGCATTTCACATTTCACGCAGCTCATGTTATTGCGCGTAGGTCAAAACACGTCTCTGCTATGACTGACTAAATCAAAGTTGCAACTACTTAAAATCAAATTAAGCAAACTTAGAGAAAATTACACTCACACTGCACGTCGAGTAGAATACTAGCATTCATAGGTATAGGTAGAGTGACGTGTCTGGCGACACAAATGATAGTAGCGTTATGATGTCCCCGAAGGACCTTGAGATGAGCACCACTTTTAACGGGCGAGGTAGCCGGTACAATGGTAAGGTTGTCAGGTGGTTGTTCGGGTCCGTCGAGGGTAGCTTGCGAGAAGGACATACCCCAGGCGAGAACTGGTGGTGGATTGCCACCTTCGGCAGCACACTCCAACGTCAGTTCGGAACCTTCCTTCACTGGTACGAATTGGTTGCCTGGGTCCAGCCGGCGACCGTCTATCAGCAGATACGTCCCTCGTGGCGCCTCTGTAACATCACAGACAATGTGAAAGTTAGTTGCTGCTTGAAGCCTGTCTTAGACTTCCTAGGCTTGCTCTGACAAGGGATCTCTGCAGGGTAACGCTCACTTCGCACAGATTATGTCGTGCGGCATTCTTGCTAATCGTGTTTGATAATTGTGCTTTGCTAGACAGTCGGCATTCTATGATTTCAGATTACATTCGACTGTCGAGTTCATTAATAATTACGGGACAGAAGCAGAATTTAGACATAAAATATTTTGATAGGACTAAAGATTGATGTCTTTGGCTTCATGGTGGAATCGAATAAGTCCATTTCCTTAACATTCGCTCGACTATTTTTTAAATTCAAGCAAAATGTGCAAGTTCGCAGAATTTTTCTTAGAACTGGTATTAAGAAAAATATGCTAATAATTGAAACACAATAATGAAAAGGTTTATGTTACTCTTTTATATTACTCTAATTAACGTCAAAACGTATTCAAGTTACAATGTAATAAAAATGATTCAACGTTGAAAAAATATTATCAACTTGCATCATAATAACGAACAACACGTGAACGTAATCACCGATCTCGTCCTGACTTTTTTCGAGCGTCATTTCTTCCATTCAAAGAGAACTTTTGCGCACAAGCACTAAAAATTACCTCTCATTGTGCTCGTGATATCCACGCGCGAGTTTTCGCACCTGCACGAACAAACGCAGAATCCGTATTGTTATCCGCGTGGCAAAGTTAGAACAATGGAACGCGAAGGAGAGAGTCACTTATTATCACGCAGAAGAAAAGAGCATCGGAGTATATACAGTGTGCAAAATCTAGGGTAACCAAACAATAAAGCTGCTTCATACCGCACACGCGTCACGTGAGAGATTCTCATAGCACTACAATCCACTTTGAATGTTTTTTGGAGATGAAATAAGAGGCATACAGTTTTTTTTCTCATAAAGTCTTATATATATATATATATCTCTCATTCTGTCCTAAAGCTCAAATTAGGGACGAAAACTCGCGTATGTAGGTACAACGAAATTGCTCCCGGCACTTAAGCAGACAGCGGCAACAACGGCTGCGTCTAATTACAAATCAATATATCCCTCCTAGCGCTTGGAGTAGCGTACGTTGCGTGCCTCGCCGATTAGCTATCGACACCAAGTGCAAAACCACCGTATAAAGTCGGGCGTGAGCCTTCCTCCCTTTTATCGTTATTGAAAAACTTTCGATTAAATTACGAAATACGCCGCGTAGAGACTAAACCTTCCAACTTTCCTTTTATTAGCCTTTACTTTAGATTACTTGAGGACGACGACGTTGCGATTACATATTTACGTGATACTTGTACATATAAATACACTCACACACACACACCCTTTCGTATTTTCTTCTACTCATCCAGCGAGAAGCTTTGTGTTACGAGCGAATGTCTTCCAAAATTACTATGTTGTGTTATTAACAACTGCGAGTAAACTTATTAGAGTGAGTACTATGAATTTTTCAAGGATGATGCTGTACAAGGACGAAGCTTGACAATTTTTCTGTTAAATATCTGCTAGGTTTTTCTAAAATGATTCTTACTGACATAGTACTATAAATACTTGTTAAAAAAGTATTAAAACTTCTTTATACAGTTGACTTCGCGTACTTTTTAAATGTTACCTGCGTAAATTGAAAAAAATGAAGTAACTTTCTTACGTCCGCACTCTTCTCACGTAAAAAATGAAAATGTTATTTTCAACTGCTAAAAATGTTATTTCAACGAATTTCAAGGTTCGCATAAGCCAACATCCTTTTATTTATTCGTTAAAACGTAAACTATGTAAAAAAGAAACTTCAATAAAGAGAAATCTCAGCAAACAAAATACTGCGAGTATAAAAGAATTTTAATTGAAAATAAAACTCTTCAAAAAAAATTTTTTTTTTTCACCGAAAACTATGCGAGTAACTCGCGCATGCAGAGAGAAAAAGGAAAAGAGAGGAAGAAACTTTCTCGCAAGTAGATCATCTTTCAATGGGCGCCACAGCGGAAGTGATAACTGTAGAAAAACTCGCAAGGACTTTCTTTTTCTTTTTTTAGCTTGCAAATTTCGACGAGTTTTTGCGCGCAAACGGCTCACTGGCAATTACCATATCGTGCAGAAGCAAGTTTCGCCCTCTCGCGAGTTGCGTATTTCGGGCTCGTTTAATAATTTCTACGCTATCTGATAGTCATGAGGCTGCTGCTATTGACAATCATTTGCGTGATGCATAATTTTCAAACGAACATAAGTATGACATTTACCGTCCTGTGCTCGTTATTATACGGAAAAGCGGTCGATAATAATATTATTGCGCGGTAAATATTGCGAAAGTGACCTACTTATTCATTTATGCAGTTTATGATTAAAAATATGATATATATCAAAGAGTGGCAGTATATATATTCGATCAATAATGTAATTAGATCATTATCATTACTATTGAAACAAAAAAGAGAGACAGCAATTATTTTATGACACAGAGACCATTTGCTTAATAGATAATGTTCGGTTTGTCACAAGAATTTTTTTCCCATTTTTATAACTAACATTTTTAAGAACATGGGCCATGATGAATACTTTACTGTATTTGAATTGACTAAATTTTATAGTAGACTTATTGATCGATCGCTATTATTTATGAAGTTACACAAATAACCAAGTAAGCAAGAAAGTATCGACATAGTAGTTCTATCTATTGTTTGTTGCTACAAACTTTGTGGAAATTTATCGCAGAGGTGTTTCGATCGTGTATCCAGAAACACATACACACATGGACGCACGAGCTCTTGAAAAATGACCAAGCTCTTACTAACTTCTAGCTAAATTCGAAAGATTTCACTCGAAAAAAAAAGAAGTTGAAAGTCTCCGTGAGATTCAACCAATCGTAAAACAGAGTAAATATATATATGAGTAAATTTTAGTTATTTCAGGCAGTTCAGGAACACTGGGTGACGGATTTTTTTCCAAACTTTGCATAATTGATGTATGTGTAATGGTCATTTTCCTGAATTTTTATAACAAAATATTAATTAGATCAACAGTTATTAACTTTAAAAAAAATTAGGAACATTTTTCAAAAGGTTATATTTTAAGAACTAATAAAAATATAAAAATTAATATTTTATAAATACGTGTAAAACCACAAGCTTGGAAAATATTTGCAACGATAAACGATAATTTTTTATTACAAAAAGCTATTAACTTATTTTTAAACAAATTTACTTATCTCAAAAAAAGGTCTTTTTTAAAAAAATTTTAGTTCTTTGCATTCCTGAGGGGTTTCTCTATAAAAAAAACCGTTATAAATTAAAGTGCCCAACATAAGGGAACATATGGCACCGATTAAAAGAAGACGCTCTGCCGTGTGGTAGCGAACTGTTCCAGCGTGGACACCATAAAAGATCTTTAGCCTCGTCTTAGGGTTTTTTATCTCGTCTTTCATCGGTCTGTCTCGTTAAAACTCAAAGAAGCTGTCACTTTTATGACTTTGAAAATCATAAAAATATTTAAAAATTATTTAGGTTCAGTACAAATTATACTCCGACTTAATTTTACGAAAATGTGACATTTATCCGTTAAGAGTGTGATAATTAAATAATAATAACAGAGTGAAATAAAGGTGATTTATGAACTTTTTTACTGCTTCACACGTTGTACGAGGCTTTCACACTTTTTAATAATCAATATCCTAACGTTAAAATAGACTTCTCCTGACTTTGTACATTTCGACCAGAAGATCGTATTTTTATTAATGAATCAATGGGATTTCATAATACTTGCGTATGTATACATCATTAAAATGTAAAGATAATATTGAACGCCACAAAATTAAAAATGAAAGGTAATCAAACCATTCAGTTGAAAATACGTTAAATTTTTTAACAATCATCATATGACTGAAGCGTGTAGATTTAATGCATGTTGGGAATACCCTAATCTTAATATTTTTGCTTGTAAATTGCTGGGTAACTTTATAGATAATTCAATTACTAATATTACATTTAAAAAATGGGAAAAGGTAGTCCGTATGGGAGAAAAAGAATCAAAATTTAAGTTTATGGATGTTTTATTATCAAGAGAGAACTTTGTTCAACAATTAAAAGTACTGTTTATGGGTTCATTTAGAATACATGACTATATTGCAACCAGTTAAAACGAATTTGTAAAAATTCGCAAAGCAAGCTTAAAGATAATGCAGTTACGGCAAATCTCAACTTTTCAGAAAATTACGTGACTATATTACAAGACTCTATTCAGGCAATCTATTAACATAACGAGCAAATAACTATTCATCTATTTTCATTTTATAAAAAATAGATGGCGAAATCAAACAAGATAATTTAATAATTATTTTAGAATGATTAAAGTATGATAAAAATGCTGTAGCCTTGTTTGAAAGTACAGCGTCAGAATATTTAAATACAAAAATACTGGAGAAAAAATAATGTACGTGTCAAACGGAGTAACGAGCCAATACAAAAATATTTTATTAATTTAACTAACTATTTATTTTATTTTATTAATTTAACTTTTATTTTATTAATTTAACTAACTACTATACCCATTATGAAATGAAAGCTGAGTAATACTTTTTTGCGAGCTGTCATGGCCAAAATGCTTACGATGGAATCAGAGGAGAAGTCAAAAGACTTGCTCGAAATGCTAGCATGAAAGGTAAGATTATAAGTAATGCTTTGGAGTTATATAAATGGGCATTGCAAGCAATTTTTAAAACTAGTTTTATATACTGTAGTAATAAAGACCAAGAGATGATTAAAATAGAATCAAAAGATAGATTCGAAGAAGCTCAAACGATATCGAATACACAGTCGCCTTCATTCCCATAAGTGATTAAGATTTAAATGTAAATAAGACTTTAAAAGTCTTCCGAATATGAAATTAGCATAGTTTGTAAATAATTAACAATGAATTAATACGATTATTTATAATAATAATTATTATTATTATATTAATAATTTTAGTTCTTATTA